TTTTTTTATTGTCGCCGAACTGCTAAACCTTTTTTTCTTTACATTTGAAATTTCAACGCTGCTGACACGCTTGCGCAAACATTAAACGACTAAACCTTTCTGTATCTGATTGCGCTTTCGCTGATCTGAACGTGATAGCCATCGGCTCGATATCACTAATCTGTCGCAGTCGCATGCGACTCGCTTCCTTAGCTTACTCTGCGCACAGATATTCGCTGCATGCTTTTTTTTTACACCAATTGCTTGGTTATCCGATTAGTGACTTGAGTTTAGTACAATAACTTTAGATGCAGATAAAGAGAAAACAAAAGCAGCAAATACGGAAATTAAGTCACAAGGTTACCGCTTAATTATGTTAATAATCTGGTTATTGAATTGTAAATTACCTTTGTAAATCATAATTGCTAATTTGTGGCTTAAAGAAGGTGAGAAATTTCAATTTTATCTCGATCAAATGGTATTCGCGACGATATATACTTCATGCGATTATTTAATTAGATTGCTAATGATCGACAATGTTATTGTAATAAATGCAGTCATTAGCCAGATTATTATGTATCGAATAGCATTCGGAGCGAGAAATTAAGTCCATCATTTGCAAATTCCGCTTTAAATATGTGACAAAGTCACATTTAAAGTATTATACGTCGTGAACTTAATCTCCGTCTTCTTGCTCTGAAATTTTTGATGCAAGATATCTTTGTCAACCAGTAGATTATTTGATTGTAACGCTAACTCACAAATCAGACTGGAAACGTGCGCGGGGTAGGCTTTGTAACAGCGCGAAATATTATCGGGAAAGAATTAACGGAGAATGGGCAGCTACGATATTGATCGTACGGCTTACCGTCGTAAGAATTGGCAAGCAACAGCTGTGTCTTATCTATCTGTCTGTCTGTCTATCTATCTGTCTGTCTGTCTGTCTGATCTGTCTGTCTGCTCTGTGTGGCATGCCTCACTGTCAAGAACTGATCGTTAACCGTCTACCTGTTGGTAAGTAATCTGCATTTTGCCCCTAACCGGTGACTATGGCTTCCATAACTTTTAACCCGAACTTTAATTATTTGATGAAATGAATGACGGATCAAAGTCGGACGGTCGATGCGACGAAGGTTTCCTAGATTCCAAAGGGTCCTGAAATCCAATGCTTTTCGCGAAAATCTTAACGAGGAACAAAATTCTCCACCGCTCAAGAGCCATCCATGATCCAAAGGAAGAAATTCTTTGTTCATTTTTTCAAGAATTTGATGAAATAAATTTTTGATGTTTTAAAGCCTCTTTTTTTCTAAGAATTCTTTGGAATTCTTGAATTAAGAAAATCTTGAAATTTGCTTTTGGACCATAAAACGTCCGTGTTATATCCAATGCGACGAATTAATTAAAAACAGGAAAAAAAACAGGACTCTTCGAAATCTAAGCGAATATTATTGGTTTCATGGAATGAAACGTTTTTCAATATATTTATTTATATCTAGGCTTATTTCGATGGCGTACGGTCAAATCGGTATGATTCAAGCGGCGGCCGGCTTCTTCGTCTACTTTGTCATCATGGCTGAAAACGGATTTTTGCCTCTATATCTCTTTGGCATTCGGAAGCAATGGGATTCCAAGGCTATCAATGATCTTACTGACAGCTACGGCCAGGAATGGGTAAATATGAATTAGAATTGATCGAATGTTTGAGAGAATCAAAATGAACGCAAATTATTTTATTCTCATATTTTATATTTTATTCTCAATAAACAAATTTTCCTATCATTAATAATCGATAAAAGATCATAAATAAATTGAAATAATAATAATTTTTAAGTTTAGTCTTTATTCGTAATATAATATTTGTAAGTTTTCTTTTTTAATTAATTTTATTTTGTTTTTGTCTTTTTTTAATTATTTGGAAAAAAATTTATATCAGCTACGAATTTGATTTAGTTTTACACTGGGAAAGTAGGTGTATGGATCGATTTTGTTAACTTTTATTCTTTTTGCAAATAGACCTACAGAGACCGCAAAACGCTGGAATTCACCTGCCACACAGCCTTCTTTGTGTCGATCGTAATTGTGCAGTGGGCTGATTTGATTGTTTGCAAAACGCGCCGCAATTCGATTATTCATCAAGGAATGAGAAACTGGGCTTTGAACTTTGGCCTTGTATTCGAGACTGCTCTCGCTGCGTTCCTAAGTTATACGCCCGGTATGGATAAGGGTCTTCGTATGTTCCCACTCAAGTACGTATCTTTTATTCATTATGTATCTCTCGTTATTTAACGAAGTGGATGTAACAAAGTTACGAAAGTACATTTTTTGATCACGATATACTTTTTCGATTTACATTTAACACATGTAAAGATCGTAGAGTCAATGTTAGATTGTAATTAATTTTGAACTGACACTATAAAATAGACAAAAATACGTAATTTACGTTTGCAGATTTGTATGGTGGCTGCCAGCCCTGCCGTTCATGTTCGCCATCTTCATCTACGATGAAACGAGACGATTTTACCTCCGCCGAAATCCAGGCGGGTGGCTCGAACAAGAAACTTACTATTAGACGCAAAGAGGATTAAATCACACGCATGCAGAACGCGCGCGCAAGAAGATGAGTGAACGGACGAAAGAATGAGAGCGAAAGCGAAAGAAAGAGAGAGAGAGAGAGAGAGAGAGAGAGAGAGAGAGAGAGAGAGAGAGAGAGAGAGAGAGAGAGAGAGAGAGAGAGAGAGAGAGAGAGAGAGAGAGAGAGAGAGAGAGAGAGAGAGAGAGAGAGGATGATGAGAGAGAATGAGACGCATACTCACACTTGAGAGATACACTTGGAAAAAAAAAAAAGAAAATTAAGTAAATCACTCATATTGAACAGATGTAACACATTTCACAAGGAATGTGCTATTGGGTCTGTCCAAGTCACGTGTCAAAAGAGCAACGGCTGGACAACGAAGGACGCGCCAAGTTTGCGCTGGCTCTTGCGCAATGAATGAAGTGCGAGATTATTGTACAGACACGGAAAAGACCCTCTAGCGCTATTATAAGTACAGCGCGAGGTACAAGAAGCACGCTCGTCGTTCTGGCTTTGCCGCCAATTGCTTGCACGCGCGTGCGTTTCGCAATTTAAAAAAAAATTGATCCGGTATTCGAGAAACTGTCGATGGAAGAAAGGATATCGTCGAAGGAATTCCACCGTCATCATACAAAACGATGCTGATCGGAAAGCCTTTCCACGCTTTCCGCTTCGCGTCCGACGTTACATTACGACTACGGAGTGATTTCCCGATGACGACTGGTGCGCAGCCGCTGTCAAATTCTGGATTGGATATATCCTGCGAGCGTCGCTCAAAGATGGAACGAAGGAACGAGAGGATGAAATAGGGAATTGCTGAATCGATAGCGTCGCAGCGCGCGACTGATGCACTGAGTGTCAGGCCTAAAGAAATGTGACGTAACGCGACGAAATGCGAAAACAAAACTGAAATGGCAACGGAAAACAGAAATCCGGAGCGACAGCGGAAACGGACACACTCGACAGAGACGGGCCATTTATGCGCGATAGAAAATCACGGAATCACGTGCGTCCTTATGTATGTCGAATGCGATTTACTACATTCACGCGACTTCTTACTATTAGTGTATTATCGTAGACATCTTTGCGTTACTAAGAAACTTCGTAATAGGCTTTCGTTGATCGTCGATCAATGCGCGCAAAATATCGCTAAGATCGGCACACACAACACGTCCTCTATTAAGAAGAACTTTAGGTGGAAGATGAGAAACTCATGAAAAAAAAAAAACGAGAGGATCCAGAGACCTACGCGAAAGAGCAAACAAAAAAATGCTCAAATGTAACAGGAGAATCGTTAAAAAAAATTCTTAGGAATCTCGCGTGACGCTGAAATACTTCGTACGAAAATTAATTGTTAAATGTAACGAAAGACCTGATACGCCAGGTATCGGTGCGGTCTATAGTCATACGTCATGATAAAATAACTAAAATAAAGGAAAGAGAGGGAGAGAGAGAGAGAGAGAG